CCCAGTCCTTAGCTGAAAAAATGTGAAACTTGCACATTTCTCAGGATATGAGACTCCCCATAACAATAAAGACACTCAGTGTGCCTATCCACAGAGCATCTTGCCAGTGTCCCAGGAGAAAGACACCTAATGAATGAACAATTAGAGGAAGTCACATTGTTATAGAAGAAATCTGGTCTTTGCAAGTAGAAGAATCTCATGTAGAGGTGCCATGTGATATGAATCAAAAGAGAGTCTGGCCTCACTGAAAAGTAAAGGCAGCCTGGAATAGCAGAACAAAAAGACCAGAGGCAAAAGACAAAAGAGGTCCAAGTGGAAGATGGGGAAGAAAAGAGGTAATGAAGATTTTCATATATGGCTGTAGGCTTTTCACACAGTCTGAAGCAACCTGGTGAAGCTCTTTTCTGAGCCAAGAAACGTAAGAGAAACAAAGAAGTAGGCAATACAGTGTTTTTAACATACTTAGCACAAATGAAGGAGTAAACGATCTGCAGTACACAAAGCATTTTTTAAAGATGAAGGGACTGAGGTTCGTACATTGCCCCCCGCCCTGCCCCAAAGGAACACAGCAATGAGAGCTCAAAGAAGAAGTGGTATTTAGTTGACAACATAAGGCGCTGACCACCTTTTCTGCAACTTTCCACCACCTTCCACATATCCATCTTTAGTGACAACAGTGTTGTCAACAATACCTAGGCACAGACTCTCGCAATTTGGTTATTTACCAGCCTCCCTCCAAGCTTCTCAATAGGAAGTGAAAGCCAAGCTGACTCCCTACTACCACACTAGTGCACAGATGGAGCAGTTGCTTCCCTTTTCCCAACGGGGCTTTCATTTGGGTTACAGAAAAGATAAACTTTAGAAAAATGCTGGGAAATGAAACAATCAAAAAGTAGAAAAGTCAGGAGAGGAAGACCAAAAATGTTCACTGATATTACAGTATCAAAAGGATAAAATCATACCCAAACACCTCAACTACTTCTTGTCTGAATCAAAGGCAAGAGGCATCTATCCCTAAAATCTGATGAGCTTCACGATGCATCAGCAAATGATTACTTGTGAGTGTGTCGTGATGGGAGAGAATGTCCCCCAAAGCAAAGAAGGATCTATCATAGAAGCAAACACAAAGTATGGGAAACAATGGAGATGAAGAGCAGGAGATGATGAAACTGTGGGAGGAAAATAGCATCGTGGGGCATGAAAATGTGAAAGTGACATCAAGGGGAAAAAGAGATCCGATTAATGGGGAAAAAAAAAAGTAGGATAAATTATTTAAATTAGAAAAGAGGACAGACAAAAGAGCGGGAAAGAAAAGAAACTGAAGTTTTAAAAGCAGTAGCAAAACAGCAAGCTGGCATTTTTTGAGGGAATGAATACATATGGCACACATTTTATTCTACTGCCTCCATAGATGCACGGAGGTGATGTATGAATTTATCACAAATTATGAATTTGTGAAAAATTCATAATTTCTCAGGATTATCTGGGGAAGAAAAAAAAAAAAAGAACAGAAAGTTTCCAATATGCACACTACCATCTGTTTAAGGGCTGTATCCACAGCAACTAAAACCCAAGACAAAAAAAATCAGTCACCATGCAACCACACACCCCTGAGAAACTAGCAACGTAAGATAATTTTTTTCAGTTTCTAACAACATATTCAGACGCGGTGCCACTGAACATTTAAGGGCTAAAATGAGGTACATTAATAATGAAGTTGGCGGTTTATTTTCAAATTCTACCACATACTCAACCTACTCCTCGAAGTCATGGTTGTCTGACAACCCAGCGCTCACGCGCACAGCCCTGTGCTTCAGGCTCCTCCGGACCAGAACATTTCAGCTAGAGAAAGGCTGGGAAAGATAAAGGTCAAAGAGTTGCCAGCAAAGAAATTCTGGCGTGGTTGGTATTTTTTTCTTTTTTTTTTTTTTTTGTAGAAAGCATCCAAAATTAATTCTGCTTTGGATAAAAGAGCTCAGTGAACAGCAGAAAAATAAAAGAGGTAAAATTATACTATGGTATCAAGTACTGGTTTACTACAGTAAAAACAACTTATTAAAAATGTTTTTTCTCCAGTTACTTTGCCTGGTTGTTTTTTTTACTTTTGTAAAAAACTTTTACTCTTTTTGTGTTAGCTTGCCTAACTTGTCAGGCTCACATTCTCCAGAATTTCTTGCAAAGACTGGAAGAATAAGCTTACTACAAAAAGTGTCTATTTAAGAAAAGGGCCTCCTTATGGCCAGAACAGTTTGCCACATTGTGCAGGTAATGGAGCACCATTAGAAGAAGCTATCATGTTCTTGTGTTCTCCTTCCATATGCTACTGATATGTAGGGAAACCTCCTTGTCTCTTTTCTCAAATGATGAACTGAAGAGTAATGGAGCAGGAGAAATGAGAAGAGGTCGTTCTCAAGGGGCAACTAAACAAAATTGTTGCACTCTGGCATACAGAGGAAAGTTAGAGTTCACTCCCCTTGTCAAACAAAACGGTAGGCAGGAGAGAAAGTGTTAATTTGTCTCACCTATGGCATATTACCTATGGACAGCATATTGGGACTCCAGAAATCTGCACAACATTCTCCTAGAATACAAGTCAAAGCCATAGTTGATGACTGATATATACTTCACAGCTTTTATTATTTTCTGTTTCACAAAAAAAGCTCCCTAAGCAAGTGATCTGCATTCTTTACCAGCTTCACTCCGACAGGGAAACTATAATCTAAATTCTGTAATATGGTCTGTTCAACTGCACTGTCTCCAAATTATGCCTTTCCAAGCCTCTATAGGCAAAACAATTGCCCAAGTACAACAATCGGGAAACCTGTTTTCAATTTTTTAAATACTGAGATTGAAATCAGTCTGCTTTTCATTTTTACTACTGTATCTCATCTGTGAACGATGCTTTTTACGATTTAGTCAATGGCCGGTAAATTCGTTGAATGAGTCATTAAAAAAAAAGAACAGGCTGGCCAAAAGCTTTCATGACACATCTTTTCTGAAGAGCCTCTCTGAAACGTTCATACATTGATCCCATCGCCTTCCCATCACTGGTTTCACAGATTAGCACTACCAGTTAGTTAAATGGTGCACTCAAGTTAAAGGCCAAACATGAAGGTAACTTGAAAGTGTTTCAGCAACGTGTAAACGTTCAAACAATGTTGATTTACTCTGCTTAAGCCTCTCCACCTCTTTAAAGAACTCTGTTTGAAGTCTAACATGAAAAGATGTTTTTGCACTTTCATTGTTTATACCCTAAGGAAAGGAGAAGATGAAAAGAAAAATGTTATCAACTCTTCTTTTATCATTTACCATTCTGAACTTATTTACCACTTTTTGCAATTAAAGATATATTATAAAGATTGTCCTTTGTAACTTGAAATTGCTTCTTCCTCCTATCTGAAGAAACTTGGCTGAGCTCTTCCCAGCAGCTTGTAGCCCAACAGACACTTTCAATTCATTTTCTATTACAACGGCAACATTCAAGATTTGAGTAATTGTTAGTTCAGTTCTTACGTTAACACTGATTAATGTTCTAATGGGAATAGGAGATTAGGATCTTCTACCTGAGGAACAATCTTATCAGACTGAATTGTTAAGAAATCAATGGAAACAGAATTATGTTACCAGGGACTGGAAACAAGGATTCACGGAATCACGGGATTGTCAGAGTTGGAAGGGACCTCTAGAGATCATCTGGTCCAACTCCCCTGATAAAGCAGGATTGCCCAGAGCACATTACTCAGGACTGCATCCAGGAGGGTCTTGAAGATCTCCAGAGAAGGGGACTCCACAACCTCCCTGGGCAGCCTGTTCCAGTGCTGTCACCCTCACCATAAAGAAGTTCCTCCTCATTTTTGAATGGAACTTTCTATGTTCCGGCTTGTGCCCGTTGCCCGTTGTCCTATCGCTGGAAACCACTGAGAAGAGTCCAGCCCCAACATCATGGTACTTTCTATGTTCCGGCTTGTGCCCGTTGCCCGTTGTCCTATCGCTGGAAACCACTGAGAAGAGTCCAGCCCCAACATCCTTCAACTCACCCTTTAGATACTTATAAACATAAATTCATACTCCAGTTGTTGGCCAAAGCTTTATGCTCTCTCACCTCTAATTCTGGTAACACAGTAACACAGCTGCACCTACTTGCATTATTCTACCTTGTGTATCTGTACAGAGGGGTGTTTCAGGCAGAGGAAACTCAGTGAAGACCTCAAATTGGCAGGCTGTAACTAAATTATGAGCGACATATGTTCGCATAGAGCAATTAAAGGCCTGTGTGTCTGCTTGATTAGTTTGATGGGGTAGCAACACATACAGCCAAGGTACTGGAAAAAGTGAATCGAGCCACCATCTGCCTTGTTTTACTGCCCTACCACACAAAGTATGTGAACATCTGCATTCGCTGGTTTGACTAAAACAGAGAAAATAAACAGGCTCTGCTATTCTATTAAATAAGGAAATAAAACAAGAGCATTAAACGCAGCAAACAGAAAGTCCCTGTGGTTGACCTCTGTAAGAAAGAGAATTTAATTTCTGCACTTTCTTAAAAGAAACAAGCCTTATTCAAAATACATCTGCAAAGGAGTTATGTAGTCAATTTGAAAAGGATGCTAAAAATACAAATACTCAGAAGAGTCAGGAGCATTTTGACTTCTTTCTGCAATGGCTCTTCTAAGGACCACCGACAGGCTTTAGCCTGTCCTTCTACAGACCACTGACCACTTCAGCTTTGACTCTCATTTTTGGTGAAAGAATGCCAGAAGTACTGATATCCTAATAGGACTGTCTGACATTCTACTTACATCTCGTGAAGCAGTTTGAAAATATAATGCTATATAAACCACTTAAATAGCTATTAGCAGTACAACTGTATATGAAAGACTGGTGGAGAAGAATAAATACACACATCATATTTAAGAAACAGGAACTACGAAAGATATATAAATCAAAAAAAGTATTTTTCCCATAACTTAATATAACCCTCACAGAATGTATATCAATACCTGCTGCTGCCTTTGCCGCCTCATTTGGGCAACCTGAGACATCATGATTTGACGATCCAATAACTCCATTCTCTGCTGCCTCTGAATGTCAACCGTTGCTCCCATTCCCACTCGAACTTCGTTTGTTGGCTCCGCAGATGAGAAGATGGGTTCAAGAGTCCAAGAAAATATCTTTGCTACCCAGCTGGGTACACAAAGAATTCGATGAACTTTTAATATACTGCTATTGTAGCAAATCCCAGAAACCTAAAACCAAACAAAAAAAAAACTTGTTAAAAAAACTTGTTAAAAAGAACCCCAACCCAAAATTTACTTTATATTTAGCTGCAGATAGCAGTTGGTCTTTCTGTTTTTTAAAGCACTTTTTATTGTATTTACCCAGAGTTCTTAGTCAAGAATCAGAGAAAGATTAGGGGATTTCTTTACCTCCAACTTCCCCACAGCCACAGCCTATTAGTTTTTTAAATCTGTGTACTGCATTGCCTGTGACTCAGAAAGCTGTTTGGGGGTTTGGTTTTTTTTTTTGTTTCAGAATTCGAGCCTAAACTATGTGACCCTTTCTCAAACAGCTCAAAATTCAAACAAAATTTTCATTTCTAGTAAAGGAACTGGTCAGGGCATGCTGCATGCTGACCTGAGAGCATTAAGACTGCTGAAGCATTGCAAACACTCCTCAAAAAACCAACCCTCTTAAGGCTTTTGCCCCCACCACCCAAGACTCTCCTTTCTAGTAAAAACAAATACAAAATTTGAAGTTAAATCTAAGACTCTGCACAGACTTATCCCAAAAGGATCCCATCTACCTTCTAGTAGAAAAAAAAAAAAGGTTCAAAACCCAGTTCATTAAAACCTGTGATATTGAAAAAGCCTTTGTGATGCACTTCTCCCACCCTTAAGAAAAAAAAACCCATTCCCTGCATTCACACTCCTGCTTGATTTCATTTCAGATTAAGGAGGAGCAACAGAAATCCATGTGTCCCATCAGTGTTTTACAGTCATCACTCAACCATCATTTTAAATCCCATTACGAAGCTCTAGCATTTGCGCCCAAAGTGGTCCATCATGAAGGTCAAAGTTCTTGCACAAATTCCGAGTCTGCCCTTCTGCTCTATGCCTCATTTCAGTATTCGTGACTATTTACTGTCTGTTATGCCACAAGAATTATGCTATGACAACAAAACGAAATGAACAGGAAGAGATATGAACCCATAAAAATCCGTAAACATACCCAAACAATGCAATTATGCTAGAAGCAATGTACAAACTCCCCACCTGGGCTACTTATTTGGGGATCCTTATTTTATCTCACTAACATTTGTATGAACATAGCAAATGCATTGCTGCATATCCAAAGGGAGACAGTATAGGAAAATGCAACGTTCTTTGGGAGGGGGCTATTTTTCAGATTATCTACAAGGTTGTTGTTAATTATCCAGTGAGATAATGAGACTCTTAGCAAAAATACATTCTGCTTTGGGAAACACTGACTTTTATTTTATCCTACTTTCATTTTATGACTGGTCTCGGGGTTGGATGTAACACCAAACACAGGCTACCATTCTAAAATGAGAAAGAACAGTATTAAACTATATTTATTCCCTTAAATCTTTTTGTGCTATGAGGAAGGAGGTGAATGGGTGGGATGGGATGAGAGAAAGGCCATAATCTGTGGCATCACAGTGAAGGCAGCCTTAAAGAAAAATTTTCTATATTCAAAGAAAGGTCCTGACCGGACTCCAGGAATGACAGGGCACTGGAACAGAAGCTCCTTCATGACCTTAGAAATTCTTTCCTCAGCTCTAGTGAAACTGTTCCAGATGACTGTAAACTCACAACCAAAAACTTGCGTACATCAACTGGAAACTTAAGATAGAACTATAATGGCCAAAGAGTAAGCGGAGGAAAATTCATATCACTTCTGCAATTCATCTACTTTTGGTATGTAGTACTTGAGACACCTACCTCACAAGAAGGTCTCTTAGAAGCTAGCCACCTAGTCCCAAGAGAGTTATGTAAATAGGCTCCTCACTCAAGAAAACCTAGATTGTAGGGTTACCAGAAAGGTTATTTTTTTGGAAGCAAGAATTACTGAACCAAGTTGTAAATATTATGCATACATTAAATCTGATGATCTGTTAGACACAAAACACACAAGCAGCACGAAAGCCTACAAATTATCTTCCTTCTTCTCACCTCCCATTTTTAAGCTATGGAGCCAGGCCCCCTCTTTGGTCCTAAGGATTTTGCAGTACTGGTTGCACAGGTGGAACCAGGCAGGGAAAGAGCACTCCAGCTCATAATAGTTTGTCTAACATCACACCAGCGTTCCCTCACTTCTTCCAAATGTCTCTCCCAGCTACTGATCTCTGCCCACTCTTATCACCTACAGTCCTTTGCTAAGGCCTAATGTTTTCAGGGCACCCTAAATCTTGAACGGGTTCAAAAAGTCACAAGAAACAAAACAAGTGGTGATAGGAAAATCTACATCTCCCTGAATGTATGACAAATCTTGACACGTGTCTGAACACAGTAACCACAAACAGAACCAGTCTTTTATCAACTCAAGACAGAAAATACAGCGAAGAGATAGCAGCAGTATGTCTTTAGTGCCAGTACTTTGGGACTTGTTTGTCTCAGAAGGGAAAGTGTGCTGCAAGCACCAACTAGTAGCTGCATCAGTGAAGGCATTTCCATATTTTTCTAAGTAAAGACAGCTAGTCATAAAATCATTTAAGTTGGAAAAGACCCTTAACATCATCAAGTCCAACTGTAAACCTAACACTACAAAGTCCACCACTAAAACACATCCCTAAGCATCATGTCTACCTGCCTTTTAAATACCTGCAAGGTTGGTGACTCAACCACTTCCCTGGACAGTGTGTTCCAGTGCTCTCCTCGGAGAGAAAGGTCGGGGAGAGCATCTGTGGTATGATTCAGTGGCCAGTCTGGGCCCAAACCACAACTGCTTGATAACCCTTTTGGTGAAGAAATTTTTCCTAATATCCAATCTAAACATCCCGTAGTGCAACTTGAGGCCATTTCTTCTTGTCCTATTTGGGAAAAGAAACTGATACCCACCTCGTTACAACCTTTCAGGTAGTTGTAGAGAGCAAGTCATTCCAGAGCATTTAATCACAAGAGAAGGCTTTATAGGGTTAAAAGTTTATGGACACTGCTCAAATAGAGAATGGCACTTAGCACTGCATGTGAGACTTGTACATGTGGCTCCTACCTGTCTTCCTAGCCTCACTGAGCTCACTGGAGTAACATGCTTGGTCTACAGGCAATGCACCAGTTGTGGTGGGCTGTCTTCTCTCTCCTTCCTGCTCCTCAACAGCAGCACTAGTGTCTTGACCCCTCCTTGTCCTGCCTCAGACAGAAACTCATTGCGCAACCCAAACCTGTGGACTTCTGTGCTCGAAGAGCTGTAAGTCAAGAAGTCTGACAACATAAAGTTCACAGTAAAATCTAAAATAAAAAGCACCTGGTGAAGGAACAAGAGAAAACTGTGTGAGACTAGCAGAAGAGACGTATCTCTTCTACGTATAGCTGTCAAGAAACTTTCTGTGGATCAGTAATTGCTCAGAGCAACCGTGTGATATTGCTGTTCTTCACAAGGGTAAGCAGATGGAAAGACAGACTCAGCTGTGCAGAGCACCAAGTGTACACTGGCAATCCACCTTGTTACTTCCACATCTGTTAGGATTTCAGTGCCACCCCCCTTCTCTTCTTTCTCAATTTACTACTCCAATTATAAAGCTGTTACATGGAAGCACAAGAAATTTTAAATGCTGTGCTCAGTTGTAACAAATTTTCAAGAAGTTTCATCTAGTGAGGAAGAGATACCTATTTGCATATTTCCAATAAACCCAGAATGGAGACGTTTGTAGTTAAAATAGGGCTCGTGATTCAGCCTGGTTTAGTGTCATACACCCATCTTAATGTCAAGTATTTCCAAAGAACTTCCTCCTTGGCTGGTTCATATGCTGAACCTGATATATATCTAATTTTTTTAAAACCCACGCTTTTATACCATTTTTGTTACAGACGCATAGTGAATTTCTAGTGTTTAAGAAAGCAGACCAACTTTGTTTATTCAATGATGATAAGATTCTTCTAAGAATGAGATCAACTGATGATCTCATTATATCCCAACTTCAACACTGTACATCAGGTTAAAGGGCTACTTCCCCCAAACAGATGAGTCTCTGGAGTATTTTAGGCTCTAAAAAGTCACCACAGAAAGATGTTGCAGTTAAGTTCACGCTGTTAGAATGGAGAACTTTCGGCTGGCAACCTAAAATTCATCTTAGTTGTTTTCTTGTAGTGAGATCATTATAACCTACAACCTCATCCATGATATCTTATCAGGCAAAATGCTAAGCAGAGGAAATGGAGGGTGCTGGAAATTGTGTAGCATGCTGCAGAAAAAAAGTGTGCTCACAGTTTTTCAGCTTCTTAACATCAGGGCTTACTACTGGTCCTTCACATGAAGTTTTCTTCCCTCTTCCCACCCCTGTAATAAGCCAAACTTCCTCTCCCCTTCCCTCATGTCCCTCCAAAGATGTACACTTTTCAGAAAAAAGGAAGTAGCTGTAGTTTCTCTTTCACATTAGGTAAACCAAAGGTGGAAGCTCTCCAATATTTTACACGACAAAGACACATATGCTCCACTACTAACTGAAAACTTTAAAATTACTGTACTTGATTAACATTAAAAAAAGAAATCACACAAAAAGCAGCAGGCGATTGGTGTAGAAAACTATGTTGAAAATTATTTTGCCTAATGGTGACAACCTGACAGAATTAAATATCAGTAACATGCTCTGACAAGCTCTAGGCAATCCTGCTTCAGCAGGGGAGTTGGACTAGATGATCTCTATGGTCCCTTCCAACTCTAAAATTCAGTGAAATTCAGTGAAATTCAGTGAAATACTCAATTATGTTGTTCTGAATAATTTTAATTTTTTCATCGTGTGTATTCAAAACTTTGCTATTTTCAGATATCAACAAATTGAAAACAAATAGCAGTATTCTTAAGATGAAGTGACATTTTAATACTTATTTTATCTGCTTTATCCTTAGTATTTTTTGAATATATAACTAGAATCAAAACAAGGGATTAGAGCTTGCGTCAAGATTTTGTACTTAACTTGTTTAGAGAAACACATTTATCAAACCAAGAGAGACTGTGTGAAAACCACCCCACAAGTAAGATCACTACACATGTATGTGTAACCTGTAGT